GAGTGCTATAGTTGTATAAGGAAGGTCTTGGAGTATGAAACTTTTGTGATAACAGTTAGAGGATAGAGAGTGCTATAGTTGTATAAGGAAGGTCTTGGAGTATGAAACTTTTGTGATAACAGTTAGAGGATAGAGAGTGCTGTAGTTGTATAGAGAAGGTCTTGGAGTATGAAACTTGTGAAAACAGTTAGAGGATAGAGAGTGCTATAGTTGTATAGAGAAGGTCTTGGAGTATGAAACTTTTGTGAAAACCTATAGCACTCTCTATCCTCTTCTAGCTGTTTTCACACAAGTTTCACACCCCAACACCTTCTCTACATAACTATAGCTCACTCTATATTCTAGCTGTTTTCACACCACAAGACTTTCCCTATACAACTATGGCACTCTCTATCTTCTAGCTGTTATCCCACAAGTTTTACACCCCATGACCTTCCCTACATAACTATAGCACTCTCTATCCTCTAGCTGTTTTCACACAAGTTTCACACCCCAACACCTTCCCTACATAATTCCCTACATAACTATAGCACACTCTATATTCTAGCTATTTTCACACAAGTTTCACACCATGATACTTTTCCTATACAACTAAAGCACTCTATCCTCTAGCTGTTTTCACACAAGTTTCACACCACAAGACTTTTCCTATACAACTACAGCACTCTATCCTCTAGCTGGACCAACTCAACTAGAGTCTACGTTTACCAATCTACATCAGTTTTATTATTGGACCAACTCAACTAGAGTCTAAGGTTACCAATCTACATCGTTTTCACACAAGTTTCACACCCCAACACCTTCCCTACATAACTATAGCACACTCTATCCTCTAGCTGTTTTCACACAAGTTTCCCACCCCAACACCTTCCCTACATAACTATAGCACACTCTATAGGGGTGTGAAACTTGTGTGAAAACAGCTAGAGGATAGAGTGCTTTAGTTGTATAGGAAAAGTCTTATGGTGTGAAACTTGTGTGAAAACAGCTAGAATATAGAGTGTGCTATAGTTATGTAGGGAAGGTGTGAAACTTGTGTGAAAACAACTAGAGGATTGAGAGTAATATAATTGTATAAGGAAGGTCATATGGTGTGAAACTTTTGTTAACTGGTATGTAGTAACAGTGATTATGGTTGTGTAAGGAATGTTTGTGAAGTGTAAAACGTATATAATCACTGTAGTCTAAATATGTACATTTTAAAAAAAAGAATGTGTATATGTATATATATATTATTATTCCATGATTATTGTCCCAGGAAAACTTAAATATCATATGAAGAATTTTCTCATTTACAGGATGGACATAATACAAGATGGAGAGAGAAGGCAAAGATTACAAGAGTTGGAGGAATGGTTAGTGGATCATAGGTCAGAAATCAATGTTGATGGCTTGTTGGTAAGTAAATTTCTCTTGTTTACTGAATATGTATGTATTTATTGTACGTTAACTTGGACATCAGAAAGACTGCAAACAAGGGGAGATACAACAACAATTTGTTTAAAGAGTAGAACAAACTAAGTTTCTATACAGTGTATAAGATGTCTAGTTACAATATAGGAAATATAACATTGTTGATTTAATTCAGCTGGTATGTGACCAGTACTTTGTCAAAGGTCAGTACAGATATTGAACAATTTAAATTGGGCTGGAAATATCTGAGGCATTTGACAGTTTTGTACCACATAAGGTTTTAAGAAGTGTCTTACACTTATTTTTCTCTGCCATTCTTGTACAGTTTCAGAAGCACATATTTTACCATGTTCAGGTTATTAAAAGCAGGAATATTGTTATTCTGGTTAAAAAGTGAGTTGGCAATGAAAAATGAAAGTAATAAGTATAATTTTGATTCCCATATGTATATTAAAGGTGGTGTTAAGAGGGTAATGAACAATCTGACTCAATGTGGAATTGTAATTCATCTTTAAAAAATATAATACAATTTCATACAGAAATTTTATTAAATACTTTTTAGTCTCATTAAAATAACATTGCTTTATTGTAACTGTAAGATTATTAAATTTATTTAAATTGTAAAAGGGTTATAGCAATATATCAGTAAAGTTTGAATAATTGTGGTGCATGTAAAATAGTACTTGTTAGGAGGATTACCTAATGTTAATAGAATAAAGTTCCAGGGAACTACTTTCAGTGTTATTAATCATGCTCGATGTAATGGCTACAATTAAACACTACAATTTGTATTGTATAAGGGACACTGAAGTCAGTTTTAGGCCACATGTTTGACACTACAATTTGTATTGTATAAGGGACACTGAAGTCAGTTTTAGGTCACACGTTTGACATTACAATTTGTATTGTATAACGGATAGTGAAGTCAATTTTAGGCCCCATGTTTGATACTACAATTTGTATTGTATAAGGGACGGTGAAGTCAGTTTTAGGCTACATGTTGACATTACAGTTTTTGTAAAAGGATGTGACATATTTTCCAACTGTAATTCAAATCGGCAGGATTTTTTGTGAACCAAATATATAAATGTGGTGCCATGGCTGACAGATGTAGTAATGTACCATTAGATATTCAGTTAACTCTCTTTATAACAATATACTAGAAGTGTTAAAAGGATTATTAATACAAATTATGAGAATAATGATTGAATAACATTAGGGGTAAGTTTATACCAGAACAATAAAATAATAGATGGATAATTTTCAATTTTTAAATACATATTCATATTCTAATCTCATATCAAATAATTAATCTTGAGAACACTGCTATAGAATAACCTCATACTGTCCTAAATATTTGTTAATGTCATACTACAAACTTTTGTGAATTCTAAACATTTATCAAATTAAAGCTTACCTGCCTATTTAACTAGTATTATATTTATTTTCAAATGTAACTTTGACATCTAAACATTTTTAGAAGAAATACAAACACTTGCTTCATTCTCTTTATTTTTCTTTAACTTATATAAGTTCTTTGGCTACATGTGATTCAATGTTGGAATCTGAAGAATATTATAATAATATTTGCGACCTATAAGTGACATTATTTGCTTCTGAATTCAGATGCATTGCAGTATTTTTGAAATTTAAATATTTTGAACTTTTTTATGTAGGACATGGTACAGGCTCTGGTCTTGGACTGTAATCATCCTGCTCTTCGAAGAACCAAGAACTTTGACAGTTTTTTCACCAAATGTTAGTAAATAATTCACATCAAGGTTTCTTTCCAAAATGAATTAACTAATAATTGTTCGCTTTGACAAATTCTTAAGATAAACGAATACTGTAGTTTTCTATGAAAAATATAAAATGTATATACATAAAATACTTCAAAACATTTCATAACAGTAGTTCAGGGAACTTTACCTAATTTGACTGTTTTGCTAATATATAAACATATTTATGTTACTAATAGGTATATGGGTGACATATCATAAAATTATATCACAAAATATATAGTTTTTTGACTCAAAAATTTCCCTTTGGCCTGCTTTTTGTACATGCATTCATTGTTCACGTTAGTTGCCCAAATTATATAACAAAAAACAAAGGTGGCTCTATACAGTTATAAAAACAGTGAATTTTTTAATAATGTTTTCCTGTTTACTTAAATATTTAAATTTATATTTTACGCTTTACAAACATGAGGTAAGGTGGCTTAATGTTACACTGTCAGGATGCAAATCAGAAGGCCCAAGGTTTAAACTTGTGTATATACAATAATATTAATACTTGAATCTTTGAATTTTCTTTTATTCAGTGTACCATGTTATTACTACTATCAAATTTAACACTATCGCCACGAGTATCCAGTACTGCGCATGACACAAGGTTTTAGTGCCTTACATTCAAAATTTTATTAAATTATACGGTATTATATGTTATATAATGTTGAGTTGCATAATAATTAACTAAATTATATGTTATACCAATTAGTATAGCAT